AGAGAGAGAGAGAGAGAGAGAGAGAGAGAGAGAGGAGAAGGAATAATAGAAGAGACTGGGTAGTAGTGGGTGGTTGAAAGCTTTGCGTGGTTACTCTTACTCTTGGGGGTAAATTTGAAGCACGAAGTAATAGAGTGGCGTTGTTACTTAGACCTCGTAGTAACATTACGTTCCTATACGTGCCTCTTTACAAGGTATTCCCATAAATTTTCTCACGACCAAACGAGTTTTTCTCCTACCCCTTCGTTCATTCATTCATTCATTCATTCATTCATTCATTTATTCGTTATTTCTTTCTTTCTTTCTTTATTTATTTCATTATTTATTTCTTACTTTTCTCTTTATATATTTATATTCTTTCCTTCGTCGTAAACCACCATGGGATTTTTGTAGAATTTCTTTTTTTTTTTTTTTTTTTTTTTTTTTAAAAGAAACGAATAAAATTTGCAATCGTTCGAGAAGAAGAAAAAAAACAAATAGGAATAAACATAATATTATAATACATTTTGTTTTTTCTTTTTCCTCTTTCTCTACTCCTCTTCCTATTTTAATAATAATAATAATAATAAAAAGAATTTCGAGCTAATTGGGGAAAATATTTTCTATTTTTCTATCATCAACACAACCACCACACCCCCCTCCCTCTCTTCACCCCCGTTCGTTTTGTCATTTTTATCGTGACAATTTTTTTGTTGTGTGTTTAATTTTTTATAGCAAACCCCCTCCCACCTCGCACCCCGCCCCCAAAAAAGAAAAATATAAATAAATTGTCACAGGACACCAAGTGTCAACAATATAAAATTGAATTTTAAGGGGACCTTAAGTAATAATAGGAGACAATTCACAAGTTTGACGGGAAAAAATGACGGTGAGCAAATCGGTGTGGCCGGTTTGATTTGTTTTTTTTTCAGAACTTTGAGGTCGCCAAAGTGATTTACGAGAAGGGATGCGTTCAAGCAGGAGAAGAATGGATGGAACGAAATCTTCTTCCAATTGCAAGTGGCGCGGTTGTTACTGCATTTGCACAGGTATATGCATTCTGAACGAGTATATCAAGGTTGTGAAAAAGGATTTCATGTACATATTAAATACCCACCCCCATCCCCACCCCACGTGTACATATATATATATATCAAACTTTTTACAATATATATATATTTGTTTTTTGTTATACAACAAGTATTTATAAACACGTTTGAGTAATAAATTTTAATCATCAAAAAATAAAAAATAATTTTTCGGATTAAAGGATTTGAAGATAAATATATTTTAACCCTTTGAGTGGTATGGACGCATATATGCATTTGGTAAAAGTTATCAATGTTAATGTCAAATAATATAATATTTTTGTTTTATCTTGATCAGATGAAAATAATATTGTAATTATTAAATATAATTTATTTAATATTAGCATATCTGATTACATTAATAATAAATTTTAATTATCAATATTCTTGTCCAAAAATATGTTAATAATATATAAGTCTCAAAGGGAATTATAGACGGATAATAAATCTTATGAACAATTTATTTTGAACTTAGTTGTACGTTTCGTCCCTTACTGGGGACTTCATCAGCAACTTGATCATTTACAGTTCACGTGTCCATACATATTATCTTTTTTACAGAGCCATACATTTCAATAAAACTTAACATATTACAATACAATTTGATCCTAAAATACCTTATCTTATCACACGTATTTACTGAGTAAATATTTTCTATACTTTCTGCAAATGGATTTTATTGATTTTTATATTAAATTAAAGTGCATTCTTTTGTCTACGCGTAGAATACCATATCGAGTTATAAAGTTAGCATGTAAAGTTCAGAAAATGTCAGTGAATGCAATGATGTAAATTGTGCATCTTTGCAATTTCTTTGAAAAGTTTAGGTAAATATTTTTTATACTTTCTGCAAATGGATTTTATTGATTTTTATATTAAATTAAAGTGCACTCTTTTGTCTACACGTAGAATCCAAATATGATTTATAAATTAA